CTTTACATGTAAAACACACTATATATTACGTCTTTACATGTAAAACACACTATATATATTACGTCTTTATTGTATTTACATGTAAAACACACTATATATTACGTCTTTACATGTAAAACACACTATATATATTACGTCTTTATTGTATTTACATGTAAAACACACTATATATTACGTCTTTACATGTAAAACACACTATATATTACGTCTTTACACGTAAAACACACTATATATTACGTCTTTACATGTAAAACACACCTATATATTACGTCTTTACACGTAAAACACACTATATATTACGTCTTTACACGTAAAACACACTATATATTACGTCTTTACATGTAAAACACACTATATATTACGTCTTTATTGTATTTACATGTAATACATAGTATATATTACGTCTTTATTGTATTTACATGTAATACATAGTATATATATTACGTCCTTACATGTAAAACACAAGATATACCAAGCCCTGCTGCTCTTTCCTTGCTGTAACATAAAGAATGTGAAAGCAAAGAACTTCAAGATATCTTATCAATGTTTACACTACTTACCACTTTGATATCTACACAGTATGTGGCAAGTCTACAGGTTGGCACAGGGCCAAGAATTATCATACGCGCGTATGTTGTGAAGCTTGCCTCATCGTTGACTAAGTACCGTGCATTGGCCCTGTAAACGGTATTTTGGTTAACTAACATGTAGGCATAGTTTTACTTTAAAAATTTATAAGATTTAATTAGAACTGCCACATAGTGAATTACAGAGATTTTCGGAGAGCGTTTGTAACTTTCAGCACGAGTCATTTCTGTTTGCGATATTAGGTTACGTACTGTTCTAATAATTGTATTACGTTGTGTTATAACAATTATCATGTGATAACTTTAACAGAGGTGAGTTTAATACACTACTATTGTGCGCGAGGTGAATTCAACCATTGTTGGTGAGGGTGAAGTCCTCTGACTACACACTTCACCTGCATGACGTTGGTAACGACTAGTTTTATTGTTGCCAAGAAGTTTGAATAAACAGAAATAAACTGTATCTATCTGAAACTGGTTTTCCCTTTATATCTTTAAAACATCAAGCTGAGGGGAGGGGACGTCATGCCTGAAGAATAAATACGCTTGGCAATTAGCTAATAATATATAAAAAGTTCACTTTTCTGACAATAATATGTTTATTTAACCCCATGATAATTACTGTTCATTTGGAAGACGATGTATTCCGAACCTGATGTGGGTCCTACATCGACAGATACACCTTTAACTACAGTGTATTTTATTATCATAACTTTTAACTATGCACCTTATGCAACATCCAATAACACACACCATTCAATGCTAAATACAATAACATACGTAATGACGTATGTTATTGTATTTAGTATTGAATGTGGTGTGTGTTATTGTATTTAGTATTGAATGGTGTGTGTTATAGTATTTAGTATTGAATGGTGTGTGTTATTGTATTTAGTATTGAATGGTGTATGTTATTGTATTTAGTATTGAATGGTGTGTGTTATAGTATTTAGTATTGAATGGTGTATGTTATTGTATTTAGTATTGATTGGTGTATGTTATTGTATTTAGTATTGAATGGTGTATGTTATTGTATTTAGTATTGAATGGTGTGTGTTATAGTATTTAGTATTGAATGACGTATGTTATTGTATTTAGTATTGAATGGTGTATGTTATTGTATTTAGTATTGATTGGTGTATGTTATTGTATTTAGTATTGTTCAATACTAAATACAATAACATACACCAATCAATAACGAATTTCACTTACTTTATCATTGCATCAGACCCTTAATGAAAGTTTTTTATTACTCCGCTACCTTAATGGAACTAATTGCGCACTCTTTGTGGCACTTACTTCGATATTACTCCGCACTCTTAATGTCGCTTACTTTGATATTACTCCGCACTCTCTGTGGCACATATTTTGATATTACTCCACGTTCTTATTGTCGCTTACTTTGATATTACTCCGCACTCTCTGTGGCACATATTTTGATATTACTCCACGTTCTTATTGTCGCTTACTTTGATATTACTCCGCACTCTTTGTGGCACTTATTTAATTGCATGCACTAAACAATTATAATATTACTTGGCACTATTAATCTCTCCTATTTTGATATATTACTCCGCGCTCTTAACTCGGAGGCCAAATACACTTAGGTCGACTTGATCCCGCCCTTTGATAGGTAATGGGATGGTATCAGATATAAAACTCCAGACGAATACGGTACGGATGAAGACAGGATAAAAACACACTGTGTGCTCACTAGAAGCTCCAGATTCCTTAATAATATGAAGATAAATAATTCTGTTTAACTTAATTAAAAAAAAATTATAATTAAAAGGCGAGCTGTCAAAGCCTGAAAGACGTTCTTACTAAGATAACCTCCTTAAATCTGAACGTCTATATTTCCCGTCTACATAGCTTCAGGCAACTTACAAATAATAAATCAGATCATTTGAAACGTTTCCAAAATCCGTAGAACGCTGAACAGAACTAATTTCAGATAAGATACACAAGTACTTACTATTGTATTTATAAATCTATATTTATTTTAGCAACCCGATTCCCTTATACCTCTATTGATTTTCATCGTTCGATCTCAATAAAAACAGAAGGTATATTATGCTTACAAATTATTTCTATCAGTTGCTATGAGACCATGTTACCATGGAAATCGGAGGATGTATGTAATATGTTTCAAATAACCTTTTTTTTTTTTCCTTTAGATATTTCACGGGATTAATCAATACAGGATTCAATCACTAGCACCCAACCTGTCTAGTGTGTCATAATACAGGCGTGAAACGACTGTTTTTAGGGTTAAAATAATACAAGCGTTTTTGATATGTTTACACATTTAAATATTCTTAACTTTTTAGCACAATTCCTAAAACAAAAGAGGAGAAAAATCTTATTGGATAAAGTTTTAATTTTCTTCCCAATTACTTTAAGAGTACATTTAAAAATATGTACTTAAAGTCGTAAATGCATCTTGAAACAGTTCAAGACAACGCTTATTTAGAAAAGTCGAATCACCCAAACATGTATTCCACATCAACACGCAATAAAATCAGTCAAACATGCGGTCAACATCTTTGTCACATCAGCTAAAAGTGTAAGTCAACATTACTTTCTTATGGTTTAACCAGTGAAAATTAGTATTCTAAGTGAGTAAACAAGTAACCCATGGAAGTCAGAAGTAAACACAAGTCACGACGATGTATATATAAACCTGGCATTATTATGTCTGCCACAACTAGCACAAACAGACTTATAAATAAACAAGTCAGGCCCTTATCACCTGTAACTCAGTCACGTAGTTTCACGTCTGGACTCCAGGAGAGGAGATTATCTTAGTGGGAGGGCTGTTGCCAAAGGACTGTCTCCTCCCTCCCCATTTTCTACACCACTTGAAGTGGTATCCTACTTTTACCAAGTAAATTCCAAATTTATTTTCTAGGCTTACCATTTATAATTCATAAATGTTGACTAGACCGAACAACATGGATGACGTCAAGAATCAAATATTAAGATCCGAGGCCTACTAGACTGAACAACTTGGGCGTTTTAAAAATCATTTTAAACAAATTCCTACACAACTAATGAAAAAGAATGATATATTGAAACTTCTGGAATATTATTTCCATAATATTATAAAAATTAATAATTCAAATAATTTACGTGATTCTGCGCAGTAGAATGATGACGTCAGAAGAAATTGACGATGTGAAGTCATGACTACGGTAAATAATGTTTCTTTAGATATTAGGCTTAAACGAACTATATAATTAATATCTTGAACCTGAAAATAACTGAAATAGCGTCCCTGGCAGATTGTTGAAGCTAATATTTTACAAAATAATAAATACTGAGCTTTGCTGTTTCTTCACGTTATTCAATAAGTTATTTTTCAGTTTATTGTTACTTTACAAAATATTCAGACAATCTCTTATCAAAGGTATTAAAAAGGTTTCAGAGGGGTGTACGTTGAAACTTACTATTTTTAAAGACAGCTGGTAGACCATCCTGCTTGAGTCATCAGAATAGAGAGTCAACAATAGAGTTACAAAAAACAACAACTTTTATTACAACTATGTTTCGCCAACGTTTCATCAGGACTAGTAGTAGTACAGGAGTTAGCCAACGTTTCATCAGAGTAAGTAGTAGTGCAGGAGTCAGCCAACGTTTCATCAGGGTTAGTACTAGTACAGGAGTCAGCCAACGTTTCATCAGGACTAGTAGTAGTACAGGAGTTAGCCAACGTTTCATCAGAGTAAGTAGTAGTGCAGGAGTCAGCCAACGTTTCATCAGGGTTAGTACTAGTACAGGAGTTAGCCAACGTTTCACCAAGACTAGTAATAGTACAAGAGTTAGCCAACGTTTCATCAGGACTAGTAGCAGTAAAAGAGTTAGCCAACGTTTCACAAGGACTAGTAATAGTACATGAGTTAGCCAATGTTTCACCAGGAATAGTAATAGTAGTAGTACAGGAGTTAGCCAACGTTTCATCAGGACTAGTAGTAGTACAGGAGTTAGCCAACGTTTCATCAGGACTAGTAGTGGTACAGGAGTTAGCCAACGTTTCATCAGGACTAGTAGTAGTACAGGAGTTATCCAACGTTTCATCAGGACTAGTAGTAGTACAGGAGTTAGCCAACGTTTCATCAGGACTAGTAGTAGTAGTGCAGGAGTTAGCCAACGTTTCATCAAGACTAGTAATAGTACAGGAGTTAGCCAACGTTTCATCAGGACTAGTAGCAGTACAGGAGTTAGCCAACGTTTCATCAGGGCTAGTAGTAGTACAGGAGTTAGCCAACGTTTCACAGGGACTAGTAGTAGTACAGGAGTTAGCCAACGTTTCACCAGGACTAGTAGTAGTACAGGAGTTAGCCAACGTTTCACCAGGACTAGTAGTAGTACAGGAGTTAGCCAACGTTTCATCAGGACTAGTAGTAGTACAGGAGTTAGCCAACGTTTCATCAGGGTTAGTAGTAGTACAGGAGTTAGCCAACGTTTCATCAGGACTAGTAGTAGTACAGGAGCTAGCCAACGTTTCATCAGGACTAGTACTTAAACAGCAAACTCCATATCACGAGGTAACTCAGTGTCAGATTTCATATCTTAATTGTTGTTCAGAAGTGTGGTTATGTTTTCTTCTTAGAATATAAAGATTATTGTTTGTGTCGGTATTTTTACTCGAGAGTTTCCTGCGCATATTCTTCCATAATCTTGAACAGATTGTTTGTTTGTTTGTTATGAATTTCGCGCAAGGTTACACGAGGGCTATCTGCGCTAGCCGTCCCTAATTTAACAGTGTAAGACTAGAGGGAAGGCAGCTAATCATCACCACCCCACGCCAACTCTTGGGCTACTCTTTTACCAACGAATAGTGGGAATGACCGTCACATTATAACGCCCCCACGGTTGAAAGGGCGAGCATGTTTGGTGCACAGATTGACCAGAGAGTTTGTTTGTTTTATAGGTAAGCACAAAGGGTTATCTGTGCTCTGTCCACCACGGGTATCGAAACCCGGTTTCTAACGCGGTAAGTCCACAGACGTACCGCTGTGCCACTGGGGGGTGGGGGGGCAGACCAGAGAGAGAGAGATGCCAGGGGGAATCTGACTAAATAGTGGGGATCGACCGTCTCTTATACTGCATTCATAAACCGAAAGCGTTTTTGTCGTAGCGTGATGCGAACCATGAATCCTGGGATTCACAATCCAGGCTAACTGCAGTGTTGAAGGAAAGCTTAAAGCCAGCATATATGACATTTATGATTCATGGGGGGCAAGATAATTATATTTCTCCTCCCTCCGAGATTTTTTCTTACAGTAACATAGAATTTATTATAATTGATACTTGAAACCGTCCATACTTGGTGAAACTCCATAATTACAGAATTGAGGAAAAACAAGACAACTGTACGTTTCTCCAATAAAGCCATCCTGATGATTATTGTTAATAATTTAATTTGTTTTAATTTATATTGAACTTTTGCGTAGCATACCTTAAATATATTATTGTAAATTATTTTAAAAAATTATTAGTCGTTATCGTGTTACTTTATTCAAAAATAGAGCCTGTTCCCCCCCCCCCCCCGCGCCAATCAACTAGCACACAGGTTGAACAACCGACAAGTACTCTCGGATTTCAACAGTTCATAAACTGAAATATAGTAACTTTTTTTTTTCGTTAGTTTAATGGCATTACTAGAAGGTTTCATTAGGCTTAGCGATCAATGTTACATTAGGCTTAGCGATCAAAGCGTGGTACAATGGCAACCTGAATGTAAAGTCAAGCTTGGTACGTTTCGAACACGCACTAAAACTGGAGCTTTTACTGTTGGTAAAAGTAAACAAAGCTCGAAAAGCCATGACAATAGCCCCGGAAGTGACTTTAACACACGCCTAAAGAAACATAATGATGTCACGTGCATCAGGAAGAAACACGTTATCTAAAGATAATCGTCATTAATTTTTGTGATGTAAGATGACCAGGAAGTTTGCAAATACTACACTAAAAAAGAAGAGCGAACTGGTTCAAGTTTCATAGAATCTGTCTTGAACGACCCCTGTTATGAAATACCATCCACAACAGAATCCTGCGATTAAAAAGGACAAAGGGTAAGCAAACAGTAGTTTCCGTATAACAAGGAAAGATGGTGTCGTTACGTTCAACCAATCAGAAACTTAGGTAGCTAATGAATTTCTACTTGATTGGCTACCCAGATCAACCAATTGGTAGTCTCGATACAATATGATAGGAAAAAATTATTCGTTGGATCACACAATCAGTTCCTCTGAAAGAAACAATGACAAAGTACCAGAGGTACTTATGATCATTACTTATGACAAAGTATCAGAAGTACAACTGACGAAAAGATGGTAATAACAGAAGAAAAAGTTCTTACACAAAGACCCAGAGTGATGATGAATAATTGGTAGAATGTCAAAAACAAACATGAGTTATCTATCCAATAGATGACTAAGAACGGCACTCAAAAACAAACATGAAATTGACAACACGTTAGGACACTTTGTAGGAATCGTATCCAGCATTTAATCTTTTTTTCCCTGAAAATGTACAACAATATACATTACTGTATGATGAATCCAGAGGTTGTATTGATATATAATATACATTATTGTATGATGAATTCAGAGGTTATGTCGATATATAATATACATTATTGTGTGAGGAATCCAGAGGTTATGTCGATATATAATATACATTATTGTACGAGGAATCCAGAGGTTATGTCGATCTATAATATACATTACTGTACGAGGAATCCAGAGGTTATGTCGATATATAATATACATTACTGTATGATGAATCCAGAGGTTATGTCGATCTATAATATACATTATTGTACGAGGAATCCAGAGGTTATGTCGATCTATAATATACATTACTGTATGAGGAATCCAGAGGTTATGTTGATCTATAATATACATTATTGTGTGAGGAATCCAGAGGTTATGTCGATATATAATATACATTACTGTACGAGGAATCCAGAGGTTGTATCGATCTATAATATACATTACTGTACGAGGAATCCAGAGGTTATGTCGATATATAATATACATTATTGTGTGAGGAATCCAGAGGTTATGTCGATAT